TTATTCCTTATCGTTTTCTTTTACTACCAAATGGACAAGTTACAATCTTTCATTGAATATTATCAAAACTATTCATTCATTATTAAAGTAATATATTCTATTTCAATTACTCACGAGAATATATTGTTTTTATTCATGAATGTTTACAATATTCGAAAAATATATGATTCATTATTTTGCAATACAATCATAGAAGAATTTTTTTACTTTCGTGAATAAGATGTATGACATGCGTGCCGTGTCAATAAAAACAAAAGAGAATGAAAAGTAATGCATTGAATTTTTCAAAATGTAAAGGTATAAAATAGGTATGTAAACTGTTTTTAAGTTTATTATTTCGACACACAAAATTGATTGAGTAAGTGTAAAATATTTGTTGGTTATATTGTAAAACAGAATGATCAGCGGAGATAACTGTAAAAGGAATATGATTTTCTAGTAATGAATTTGAATAGAAATACAAAAGTACCAAATCTTTGAACTTTCATTTTTTCATGATTGTACATCTATTTTAGTACTCCAGTAAAATTTGATAATGTCTATCATAAATATAGATGAACAATCAATGCAATGTAGAATATGTTTAGATACTGATAATTCTAATGATTTAATCAGTCCGTGTTTATGTAGTGGCAGTTCGGAATATGTTCATCGTGAATGTTTAAATCCTTGGCGATCAGAAAATGCTGATGGAAGAGCTTTCAATTATTGTAATGTTTGTCGATTCAAATATGTAATTGAAACTGTTATAGATGATCCAAAAGCTGATAAACAAAGACTTTTTAAATATTATCTATTTGTTACTCGTGATTTAACATTGATTACTTTATTAATTCAACTGCATATTATTGGTGGAACTTTTGTATTAAAAGCTCTGGATAAGAATAGTAATAATATTAAAAATTTATTTCCACATTCAATCAATGAATTTGTAATTTATTATTTAAGTGCGTTTGTAATGTTATTAGCCATTTTAAGCTTTTTATGTTTAATTATTGTTTGTTGTACTGGTGGTTCGAATGGTTGTTCATCGGCTGAAAGTGGTTTATTTAAGAATAGTGGAAATAATGGGAATGGAATATTTTCTGTCGTTATTATTATGATATTAATATTTGCTTTTATCGCTATATTCGTTGGAATATTTTTAAGTATTATGATTTTAAAGAAAATAATGAAAAATCATACCGAGAAATTATGGTTACGACAAGAAGCAGAAAAATATATTATACACGATTTTCAAGGAAAAAAAGATGAATTAGACAACTATAGACGAAACTTAAGTCAACACAATCTTGAATGAACTGAAATTTTGAGCATGCCATATATATTATTGATGTAGTATCTTGAGGATGTGGGTGCGAGAGTAACTGGGTACTGGTGTAGACTCTGATAAAGATTCACACCCTCAAGATGGAATATCATGCATTCACAACAAAGTCACTAGTTTGAGATGTGTCGCTCTACATCTGTCGAATATCATTGACGCTGTATGCATAATGAAGAAAGAAAAAATTGTTTGTCAGTATTCTGAAGAATATCATGCATTCAGAAGAAAGTCACTAATTTGAGTTGTGACGCTGTTCAGCTGCTATACCTTGCGGAAAGAAAACTAATGAATGTCCCAGGGATAATGTACTTCTCAGTATTGTAATCATATCTTTTCTACAATTCATTCAATGAATCTTTGGGTTTTTTTGAAAGATTTGTTTAAGGATGTTGAAGAAAATTGTGTATTTTTTATTTATGTAAATAATATTGAACATCGTCTAAGATATGCGTCAGACAAACAATCTAAGGCGCAGAATCTTGTAAAACAACATCTTGGTAGAACCATGTTTTAGAAAACGATGAATGTTATTCAAACAAATGAAAACATATCATTTTGTAGAGGATGAATAGAGAAAACTTTCAAAAAAAATCAAGCCTGAACAAATGAATAATAAGAGAGATACCATCAAAATAGAGGATGAGTCCACTACACTTAAAACAACAAAAAAGTATTGTTTTACCAAGTTGTTTGTGCAGAACTATTCGTTTGAATCATGTCTTGAAAAATGATGGGTATTATTTATGTCAATAAGAAAATAGAAGGTGAATCTTTTGAAAAAAATTAAGTCTGAACATATTAATAAAAAAAGAAATATGAGTGTAAGTGCGAGTGTCATCCCACACCTTGCCCTTGCCCTTGCTCTTACCCTTTCACACCCACATCCACACCCTTATCTTCGTTATTTTATGTTTCTTTGGATCATTTTACGTTGATAACCGAATTCATTGATGGATATATTTTATTTAGTTAAAAAACATTTCGTTGCTCGATGTTATTTAAAGAACTTCAACTCGCATTAACGAGTTCATCAATGAACATGTTTTTTCATAACTTTATCTTTCTTACCGAAAAAATCTTTTTCATTTTTATCTACAGCATTTATATATGCATTAACCATGGCATTATCAATATCACTAACATTAATTGCACTTGCTGTCGTTATTTGATTTTTTTTTGAAAAACTGTCTTTGTTGTATTTCTTTTTTGACATAATTCAATGTGTAGGTGTGAGTGTGGGTATCAGCCTTGTTCTTATCTCACATCCACACAGCCATATCCTCTTGTTTGCAAAATTATTTAGTCCCAATAAGATTTTTCATGGTCATTATCAAAGTAAAGAACCAAAAAAAGTTTTTATTGGATAGAATCAATAAAGTAGAGAGACGAAGAAAAAACAGAATAAAAACAACCCATGTCAACCATGTTTTTATTTTATTTTATGCTGGAATATAAGTAAAAGGCTGTATGGTAATGTCTGTTAGCACACACATAAAGGTAGTGGGTGTGAGTAAGATAAGTAATATACACCTACATCCACTCCTTATAACGTATGAAACAGTTATATTTATCGGTGACAATGAAACCTTACAAACAGTGTCCACTACAAGAAATACCATAATGGATTTCATTTTGACAATGTATTCTAATAGATATCCATTCACTTTCAAAAATACTCGTATTACCTAACAAACGCTTTCGTTCTGAGTATCAACAATACACTCACTGATAACAAACACTTCAGATTTGATTGCAATTTATGTACACTATCATTTTGTTGATTTATAATAAAGAAGGAATTCTGTTTTTCTATTCGTTATATATACTACATGATTTACTTTCCTAAGCGATGCCATGTGTGATTGTGCAATTACATGTTATTGCACAATCGTCATGTAATTCTCTTACCATACAAAACTATATAAACTGCTGTTTCATCTCACAAATGTTATACAATTTATATTAAAAATATATTACTTATTAGTATAGTCTGGGAATATTAAGTCATATCAACCTTTTAAAACCGTTCTTTTTAAGGTTCTACTTATTATAATTCATTCATAATCAGAAAATGGTAGCTGTTACTCGTGCTACGTTAACTCGTCAACTACAATCAACAAATACAACTCGTGCTGTTGTATCATGTATTGTAAGAAAAAAGTCTACTAAACAAAAGAAAAGAATAGTTAAACAACATGCAACAACAACATCTATCGTTTCAGCACCATTGCAACCATATAACGACGTCGCAGGCAAAAGTAATATTACGAATGCTATTGAATATGATATTTTCGGTAATCCAAGTGGAAGAGAATATGATTTGGGTCGAGATGGAGCATTTATGGGGTTTAATATTTTGATTGCACAATTGTATTGGGCCACGAATTTTAATGACACACAAATGCAAGTACCGATAGATGAGTTAAAAAAGAAAGGTTTCCAAGTGAAACATGTTAAAACTGAAGATGAATGTATAACAGAACTTGCCTCGAATCGTTATCAAATCACATGGATTATTAGTAATAGTCAAATTCAAAATCCAACATTTATTTCATCTTTAACAGCTTTTCATTCGACGGGTGGTGCGGTATTTTTATTTGCCGATAATACACCATACGTACGCCATGCATCTGAATTTCTTAAAGCGAAATTTGGTATTACTGTCGACGGATATTATTATGGTGGACAAAAAATGACATACAAAGAAGATGGTCATCAGGAAAAAGGAAATTTCGGTCAACATGAAATTTTTACTGGTATCACGAGTTTATTCGAGGGTATCACTATATCTCATCCAATATATTCAACAACAGCAAGTCGCGAGTTATTCATTCCAATAGCAACTGCTAGTGATGGTAATACTAGTATTGCAACGTATGATCCACCTTCGACATCAACAGAAGGACGATTATGTTTAGATTGTGGCTTTACAAAACTGTATGCGAATTGGGAGTCAGCAGGTGCAGCTCGGTACATTGTTAACGCCACTTGTTGGCTTTTAAGAATTGAAAAACATTAGAAATAGAAGAAAAAGAGATAATAAGATATAAATATTTTTTTTCCATAAACATTCTTTAAAAAAAAAGAATTATCAGAGTTACTATCTTTGATGAAAAAAATACCTCAAATGTTTCTTAGGGTGTGGGTGTAGGAATATTTGCAATAGAACACACCCGCATTCAGTTATGATTGTTTCATAAAGGAGAGGCAAATTTCACTTGATATAGTAAAATTTTGATAAACAAAAAGTCAGTACAATGGATAACAACCATGTGTTCTTCTTGAATATGTAGCAGAGAATGTTTATATGTTTTCTTGTCTTTCCAGTTAACTCTGTTAGAAAAAGAGAGATAGACGACACGACACTTATAAAACTATATTTTTGTTTTTGTAACTCAGTTATCAGTAGTGCTAATATTAGCGACGAGTGGAAATTCCACCGTTTAGTCTGTGATAACTAAAAGTGTTTTCTGATTCTCATGTGCTTGATCTATGGCATTTATAAACAAGAAAAAGAACTGATGACATTTATTCCTTACTGACTCGTGCAAGTATCTGTTTTATATAACAGAACAAAAATAAAACGTCATATCACGCGCATACCATCTCGTTCTATAAGTACAGAAAAGAAAAGTATATCACATATCATATCAAGAATAATATTGAATTAAAAATGGAAGAATCAATCGCAATAGAAGATGCAAAATCGACGGTAATTAAAAAAAATAATATTTGTTCATGGGTTCAACGTATTGTTAATATTGATGATGTACCAAATCAAAAACATTATTATGTCGTATTCATCATTAGCACAAGTACTTTACAGATATTTATTCATCTCTTAACATATATCAACATTATTTGGAAAGGTGAACGTTTTTGGTTTACTTTATCTTGTCTTTTCATGTTTTTTGTGCCATGTATGCGACCAACTCGTGATTATACATTTAAACAAATATGTTTCTCTTTCATGTATCCACATCAACTATGGAGATTTTTTTCTGGTGCGCTATTTCATATGGTTTGGTATCATCTACTAACCAATATTACTAAACAACTTCTTTATGGAATTCTACTAGAACGTAAATATGGTTCAGTTCGTGTGGCTATTTTATATTGGCTTTCAAATCTCAGTGCTAGTTTAAGTTTCATGCTAAAAAATGGAAAAAGAGGTATGTAAATTAGAACTTCTTTGTGTGTTTTTAATAAGTTTATTTTTCTTTTTAGCTGGTATGGGCGCTTCTGGTTCTATTTATGGTCTAATGATATTCTTGGTTATGGATCGACTTGTTGCTTTACAAGAAAAGACCGAACGTCGTTTGTTCATACTTTTGCAAATATTCTTACTGGTGATACTTCCTAATGTCCCAACTATGATTGTATTTAGTATTCTGGAGCTTCCAGTAGGACATTCAGCTCATTTTGGTGGTGGTTTAGTAGGTTTTTTACTCAGTGTTGGTATACTAGGTTGTCCTTTGCCATGGATTAATCGCCAGTGGCGCTATGGAATAATATATAAATACATAGCATTTTCTTTACTCTTTATTTATTTTCTTATAACTTTAACTATCTTTTTCGTAAATGACGCTTCTATTCTCTTCTAAATTTTAAAATCTAGAAGACAGGTGAAATAATGTATATTCATCCTTAATTCTATTCTTTAAAACTTTTATTGTAAATATTTTTACTACTAATTCTATGTAAACAGTTGTATTTCGTAAGGGCAGCTATGAAATATTCTATCATTTTAAGGCGTTTTATTAATAATAAATCATGAATAAGAATAATAAATAAATACTTTTTTTTCTGTTTTGTTGCACACGTCTCACTCTTGACGAATGAACATAGATCCAATGTAGAGTATCATAATTTTCATTGAGATAAACACAAATGTGGCTACTGATGTTGATGATTTGGTATTAACAAATGTTGCTATATCAGCAAGTTTTGATATATTTGAAGTATGTTCCAATTGTGACATAATCATCGTATTAGTATTGCATTACCAGCTGTATTTAATTGGTAACCAATAGTTACATCTTGGG